ATTTTATTGTACTATTGTATTTTATTGTACTATTGTATTTTATTGAATGATTGTATCTTAATATAGTCATAATGTTCAAATAAAAACAATGAAAAATGGATTTTATCAAAATAACACAATTCAAAATACTTTAAAATTTATTATTTATACCAATGCATTAATTTCACAAAAAGTGATTAATTTAAATTAATATATTTAGGCAATTTAGTATGTATAGCTACATATTATGGAACATAAGAAAGCGTGTCACTTTTACGTTCAATATATCCTTTTTCTATCAAGATATCAATACATTTGTTAATCTCTGGTATCTTAGGTTTGAAGTGATAACGGTTAAGAAATCGGTCAGTCACTTCGTTAATTAAATTAACAATTTTCACATTCTTTCTATTCTTCATTGCATGAATTATAGTTCCCTGAGAGTGTGTATTAAAATTATGCTTATTAATTATAATCTATTATCTGTTTAAAAAAAAAATACATGTATAGTCAATTTAAATTTACAAACCTGAATCATTGGCTTACTATCTCTGACATTTTGAATTTCATCTTCATTCTTTTCCGACACAATTGGCATATTTAATTGAATGCGAGTTTTATTACTAGCATACAATTTAAAAGTAAGTTATTATCTTTTATCATGAAACTTTCAAACTAAATACGTTTTTAAACAGATAATAAACCTTTTAAAGTTTGTGTCCAATTCATAACACGATAAAGAATCACCAACTTTAGTACCATTAGAAAGCTTGAGCACTTTAGTTTTGACAAGAGTTTTTAGTGTGTCCGTCAAAACACTATAAGTTAAATCTGTTTTCTGTTTTAATTCTTCAAAGGTATATGATGTATTTTTATTGTATTGCAAAAGAATGCCCATTTGATATGTGGATACCTGGCATGTAATAAATGGGGGTTTTTTTTATGTTATAAAATAACTTACATCGTTTAAAGTAATCAATTAATTATAAGTCTTTCAATAACAAACCATGAATGTATACGATTTTTTACAATAATTAGTTTCCAGTTCACCTTTTGAAAGATGGAATAGCCAATTAAGTTTACGGCTAGGGTGCTTGTTTTGATAAAATTTCTTGAAAGTTTTAAAAGTTCCTTCGAGCTAATTAATGTCAAAAGAATGTTAATACTGTATGCTGGTTGTATGTTAAAGTAAAAATTTATACTGTAATTCATTTTATATTACTTCTTTTGGTATAATAAAACTTGTTATTGATGGTTTAAATGGCCAGAATGCTGTTCCCAAAACAAGAATAGAAAAGTCGACTAAAGAATATAAAACAAAAATGAGCAAGTTTAAATTAAAAAAAGTTATATTTTTAATATATAATTGCCTTGTTCATTAACTTTTGTAGAACAATAATTTTTGAACTGATTGTTAAGATCTTTGTTTAATCTTATATCAGTAAGCATTCGATATAATTTTGAAGTATATTCAGAACCACATGTCTCCTATAAAAAAAATTATCAATAAATATAAATTTAGATACAAATAAGCGTTTTATTAACTAACCTTTAATTTAGAGATCAAATTTTGCTCTGCGTCCTCTGATAGTGATGTCCCATTTATCAAACGTTTGGCTAGCAACATTGAATAGAATTTTATAAAAATGTCTTTGTCTTCCACATACTTAAATAAAGTCATCTAAAAAGTTTTAAGCAATGGCAAATACATAAATTTGAGATCTTTAATATTATAATAAGTAAATACTACTTACAACATCTTTTAAGTCACTTTTATCAGAATCCTTTCTAAGTAAAGAATCACAAAATAGGGCCAATAATTGCGGAGATTTAGTTGTTGAGGTACCAGTAACATGGTTTTGATTGACAATTTTTTGGAACACCTGTTGATATAATGATAATATAGTTATTACTATGAAATTAAATATATATAATATAAATCGATATTTGACATTACTTTATCCAGTGAAATGATAAAATTAGCATCACCTCTGAAGGCAGTTAGCATATTAATGTACATCCTACGCGTTTCGAGCAAGGCATTAATATAGACACTAGGTTCCTATAAACAATTATATTAAATTAATTTGTCAACAGTTTATCAAGTTAAGAATTAAAATAATATAAAGCATACTATTTCAGTATTAACATTGATAGGAATTAGACCCTTAATAAAGGTAAGACCTATTTTGTAAATACGTTCCTCAAACCGTGGCAGAAATTGATCTTAAAAATTAAATTTAAAAATTTAAGAATTTTAAGAATTTTTTTAAATTATAATTACATATCACTTAATATTATTATACCTTTATTTATTGTAATTAAGCAAATTATCCAAGCTTCAAGTTCGGGTGAAAACTGCTTAAAATATTTGTCAATAAGGAGACTTTCTAAAGAGCTAACTAGTTTCGGAAGTAACATCTCATCTGCAGCTATAATAAAATCTAAAATGTTAACATCTGTATCATGATGTCCAGTTGATTTCGAAAATATCTTCTCATCTGCATCTATAATAGGATCCAAAATATTAACATCCGTATCATAAAGTCCGATTGAGATCACACCAGTATAAATATAGCTTAAAAATTATATACAGTATATTAAAATTTAATAAAGATGACTTTTCAGAAATGATAACGTGAAATTTACTCAAGAATTAACTTAAAGATTTCTGGTGAGATGTCTTCTTTATAAAAAACAATGATTCCATCGGAATTTTTGCGAATACATTTATTGGACAGTGCCTTCTTAAAATAGTCACATCGGTCCTTTAAAATTGATGTATGGACTTTGAATATTCTACGATTCCAATCGAAGCCTGCAATTATGTACATATCAATGTTTTTATCTAATAAAGTAAATGGCTGCTCTACTATATATGAGTCCTTTTCAAGTTCATTTTTGTTATTACGATATGTAAAAAATTGAGGAATCATTGTGTTTCTAGGGTTCGAGAGACATATGTACGTACGTAATTACACGAATATATTTTAATAACATTTTGATTTAGAATGTTGTGTATGGTTCCACAATTCTAATGTTTGTAATGCAATATTGATAAAAACAGGGTTGTTTTTTTTTTTAATAATTTAATTGCTATCACATTAAACTTTACTAAAAATGATATTATTAATGAAAAGTCGGTTTTATCAAAAAAAAAAAAAAAAAAAAAAATTAAAAATTAAAAAACATACCGAAAATGTGTACATGGTTGCGCTCTGGATGTCAGTTCGGATGGCTACTCCGGAATTCAAATTTCTTAATTAATTAAATTATTAAATATGTTAATAAAGAAACTTTTTTTAGGCAAAAAAATTATTTAATAAGTTTGTGTATTTTATTTAATGAAAAAAATTTTATAAAACTAAAAACTTAATAATTTATTCAATTAACTTTTTTTTTTTATACAACTGACTCTATACAGTATAACGAACCTCTCCATAATGAACTTGTTTTTTTTCAGTACGTCAAATCGTTGTAGAAGTTGTCTATAATTAATGTGATAATAAAAGTAACTTTAAAGATGATTTAAAGAACTATGAAAATTTTCCTTCCGAAAATACAAATAAGATATTTAAAAGAATTTTAGCAGATAAATAAATCTCCTATAATACAGATTTTTTTATCATGTAAATTCTATGAAATGAACACAATTTTTATTGTGATGGTGCTACTAGTGATTTATATATAGCTATGTATTAGAATAAATATGGTTTCTATTATGTTTGTTGCGTAATTATTAGACAAGTTTGATTTAATGTTAAAGAATTTTTTGAAGTAGAATTAGTAGATCAAATAAATATAATTCTTTTTTCTTTAAATCATGCGCAAATAAAGGTATAAATAATAGTAACTACATAGATCATTATGACTGTCGATATTGCTGATGTTAAAAAAAATCAACCACGTACGTACGTGGTGGCTAAGGTTAAGTTTGGAGTGGCCGGATTGGTATTACCGGTTTTTCTAGATAAGGGTAAGATCCTTATATTCAGTCATTAAGAATTTAATTGTTACAAGTGTAACTTGGAGTTCATTTGTTTGTCGTATCTTTATCTGGTACGCTTGTCCATTATTGTCGTACTTGAGATTATAATAATAGTACTGTCTTTTTAATTTGTCCAATATATTGTCAGGTAATTTTGAAAGGTCGATTACTTTTGGATATTTTTCCAGTATTGTTGCGACTTTGGTTCTATCTTTCTTTTCAAAGATAGTTAAGTATTTATATCCCATATAGAGATGATCAAAATTCATGAGTTGTTTTTCTATTCGTTTTAACGGTGCTATTTGTTTTTGAACTGAGGTTTTGAATAGTCGTCCTTTTTTAATTTGTTTTGCGGTTATCGTTTCTTTATTCATCATAATTTCTTCAAATTCTTCCATTGTTAATGGTGTTAGCTCTTCTTCTTCGGATTCAGAGTCTATTCCTTCAAATAATTTGGCAAACGTTTTCTTCGGATTTATTATTCTGTATTGATGTGCAGTTTTAATTCGGTTTACATATTCTAATATGGGATAGTCTTCAATTCTTTTGAATATGTACAAAAGGTTTTGTAATATCATCGGTACAAGGGGTATTTGTTGTTGTTCTATTTGTTTTAAGGAATAAAGTTTCTATGGTCCTAAGGTTTCTGGTTTAGTATTTTTAGGCATTTCTTTATCGTTTAGTCGTAAGATAAATAGTCCTAGTGTTATGAAATATTTTGCTTGTTCCGGTCTACAGCCTGTTGCAATCCATTGTTCTGTTGAATAATATGAGTTTTTATTAAGTTGTTATTTTTTATTACTAATTTGGATTCTTCAAATATTTTTCTTAAGGCCATTACTTCTATAATTTCCTTTGGTATTCCATTCTGGTCTAGTTTTCCTTTTCCTCCCATTCCATTGAATGTTCGGTAAAAGCTTTTGCTTGGGTTGATTCATTCTGCTAATAAAATGTATATTTCTTCTTCTACTATTGTAAATCCTATCGCTTGGGTCATTATTCTATTTGGTAATTGATATTAGTCATGTAAAAATACTTGTTTATCAAAGTATGCTAAGAGTTGCGAATTTGAGTATGTTCCTGAGTCATTTTGTAGCTGGTCCTTCAAGTTCCATTTTCCCTTGTATTGGCTTAATTCTAGGTTCAATAGTTCTTCAGTATTCACATTCTCGTTTCCAAGTCTTTGCATGATAATTTCTAAATTTTTTCCAAGTTTGTCCTTCAGATTTCTAATATTCTCTACTTATACTTATTCCAGTCCTTTTCTCATAAACTTCTTCTAAATTGCATTTGTAGCTTTCTTGCCTGCACTATCTTTCAAATTCTTCAAAGAGTTTTCCAGTATATGCACTTATGTCTCGATTATATTGCCAGTTAATTGTTTTCTGAATGTTTCTTATTTTTGTCACTATTCAGAGGTAATCGTTGTTTTTGTAACAATTATACACTGTCAGAGTTTTTTGTTTTAGAGTTATACTTCTATAAATTACTTCTTTAAGTTCTGATTCTAAGTCATGTATTATCAGTTTCAGTAATTTTAAGGATTGATTAGTTATTAATTTTTTGGGTATTACTTGTTGTCCCACTTCATGTAGTTTGCTATTAAAGCAATAATATTCTTCAAATAACAGTTCTGGGTTTGGATATTTCCAATAAGTCATTTAGTTTCTCCAATATTTTTTGTGTTCTATTTTGATATCTTCAATTGTTTCTTTATTGAAATCTTTTTCTATATAGAATCCTATTATTATTCGATATATAGAATCTATTTGGGATTCAAGTCTGCTTTGATAAGTTTCTCTTTGGTTTTCTTTATTTTTATCTTCAGTATATACAAAAAAGTATTCTGGATAATTTATGTCTTTGATTTCAAAAACAAATTTGTTGACATAATAGTCTAGCTTTCTGAGTGTATTTATTAAAAAAAAGATAAAACTTGTTTCTTTTCTTTTGAGAAACAAAGAGGTTATAGAATATCCTATTCCATTAGACTCTAATCGTAAAATTTCTTCATAATATTCTTCTTCTATATTTTTATATATTTCTTTAAAGTACTTTCTTGTTTCTTCTATAGTTGATTTATATTTGAGGTTTCCCCTCTTCTTCTTTTTCTGTTAATTTGTAGTAGAGATCAAAGTATTATTCTGTATTAATTTTCTTCCACCTTGTCATCTAATTGTTGTAGCTCTTTGAGTAATTCTTGAATTTTTTCGTTAATTAGGTCTTTAACTTTTTTTTTTATTCTTTTCAAACTGTTTGACTCCTTTTTCTAATAATCAGGCTTGTATTTCTTCATCGTATTTAAAAAAGTAAGTTGCTCTTTCTAGCGAGTATAAATTTCTTATAGTATTAATAATATGGGTTGTGATTAATTCTAACTCATCTAGTATTAAGTAAACTTCTCTTTGAGCTATTGGTCTTGTATTTTTTCTTGAATTTTATCAAGTACAGTTCCTAGTTGTAACTATACAATATTTAGTTTGTTTAAGTATTATTTTTGAACTGCAATTGATTCGTAATTAAATATAATTTCTTTAGCTATATCTATTGATAATAATAGTTGTTTTACAGCCTGTAATAGTATTAGAATTATTCCTATTCTATTGTTGTTTGTGGGTTAAATTCTTTTTTGAAGTTTTTTGACAGTTGCAATTATGTCGTTGATTATTTGTTCTTTTGTTCTTTGGTCAAGTATTTCTTTTGCTAGGTCAAATTTTGATTTTCTATGTAGGAGGTTCCAAATAAATTTAAATTTTCTTTGTTGTATTATTCTTTTTAGTCTATGATACGTGTTTGTATTACTACTCATTAAGTTCTTTCAAGTATTCTTTTCTGTTATTTATATATCGTTCAAATCTTTTTATTTCTTAGTCAATTTCTTCTATATTTCTTGTTCTATTATCTTTATGTATAATTATGAAGCTGTTAATGTTATTAATATTCTTTTTTTGGTAAAGTTCAAGCTTCTGTTCTAGTTCATAGTCAGTTAATTTTTCTAAATTTTTCTTTAATTCTTTTAATTCTTCTAAATAAATCTCTTCTCCAGCTTCTTTTTTTTTTTAGATATTCCTCGGTATTGGTTAAATGTTTGTTTCAAACTAATTGTTCTTGATACTAAGAGTATTACTCTATTTATTTCATCTAGCACTGATATTAGGCAGTAGTTTTTATTTGTTCATTCTTTCAATTGTGCACAGGAATATTTGCTGTTTAAGTTTTGGATCTGTTTGGTATGTTAATTCTATCAGTAAGTCTAACTGAATTATTCCTTGTAAGTCTTCAAGATATTCTTTTAATACTTAAGTAGTTCAGTTGTATTGATCACAATTCTCTATAGTTATTAAATTCTATTTTGAGTAAGTTTTTTTGCTGTTTTATTGACATGTATTGAATTATTAATTCTGATATTTTGTTTACTATGTAATACACTCCTATTACTAATACTATGTCTTTTAATAAGAGTATAAAATGTATTGATGCTTGATCATATGCTATAGCTGTTACAGCAAAGTAGTTCATCCACAAAGGAGTTGTATTTATTTACAGTAATGAGGATAATTCAATTAATTGTTCTAGGTTGTTATGATAGTTTTAATAATTTCTCAATATATTCAAGTATTTCAGTGTCTATAAATTTCAAAGTTATTTCTTTTATTTCATCTTCAAATATTTCTTGAGTTACTGATAGTGTAATAAGAGCTATTTTTAGATATACTCGTTTGTGTATTAATTTAATATTTAATTTTTTTAAGAGTATTAGGTTTTTTGTATTCTTCTAATAATCCTTGTATTTTTTCTTTTCAATATCTTTTAGTTCTGGGCATTCACTCTTCATCTTATTGTTATCGGTAAACTTTGTAGTCTCATAATCCTTAGATTAATTTGTGAATATACATATTCTGGTGTCATTTTATAGTCTTTTAGTTGTAATATTTCTCCTATAGTTGT